AAATAAAATAAAATAGATGAAAAGAAAAGAGTATATGCCCAAAAATATACAGAAGTATTTTTCTTTTTTCCTTTTTTTAAAAAGTAAAATAGTTCTTGTTAACCCATGGAAAATGCTAAACCTTGAATCCAACTCTGTTATCAAGACATGCATGCCAATCCGCCTTCATATCTTTCAAAGGAACTCGATCATGGGGACTGTTGAGAAGTAGAAATCGTCAAACATTCCTTAGAGGACAAGAAAACATAGTGTAATTAGGGCATTGTATACACAAAACAAAGATGGTTATAAAGCTTTTACCGCTTGGGTCCCGAAACACAGGGTTCAACATCTGATAGGTCCAACTGCAAGTAGGACGTGTATACTCTTTCCTCATCAGGCTGGATGAAGTAAAAGGTATCACTAAACAATTCCATCTCAAATAACTATGCAGTAACAATAATAGCGGAACCAAAGGAATTTACCTCATTGTAATCAACAAACATTCTGTTTGCGCGTAGGTATGCTTCTATCATTGCCACCTAATGTAACAACAAAAATAATAATAATCCATCACCTCTGGCTCCACCACTGGAGTACCATACCCATATGAAAACAAAAATATGAGTGAAAAAGCTCACTGTTTCATCACTTCTTCCGGTTAACTTAAGATACTCCAAAGTGACATGATCCACAGGAAAGAAACCCATGGTTGCTCCATATTCAGGCGACATGTTCGCAATAGTTGCCCTATCAGCTAATGATAGTTCACCCATACCCTCACCTGTGTAAAACGGAGTTAGGGACACGTGCTAGAACACATAGTAACTAAATTTCAATCTGACTTCTGAAGTTTTGTATTCCCAGGCTTACCATAAAACTCAACAAACTTGCCGACAACACCATGCTTCCTCAACATTTGAGTCACAGTTAATACCAAGTCAGTAGCTGTGACACCATCCCGCAGTTTTCCAGTCAACTTGAACCCAACAACACCAGGTAACACCATGCTCATGGGCTGTTTGATTCGAAAATCATGTCATTAAGTGCAGATAAAAAATATTGATATTAAGATTATTGGTGCATATGAGCCACATGGCAAGATCAGAAAACAGAAATCGGATCAATATCCAACAGAAACAAGAATGTCTCAAAATAGGCTATAGCTGCTGCCTCTATAATGCACCTACTTATGGATTGAGCAAATAAAATCCATGCACGTTTTATCAGAAGAAGTGGGGAGCTACAATCTAAAAGATTATTTACAATGAAACAAGGAAGACAGAAGCAGTAAGAAATAAAACCCTAGAAAGAAGAGAAAGAAACACTACAATGTTGGCATTTTGCCGAAGTTGCAGTTCCTAAGTAATGACTGTCAGCATTCAAGGGAACAATTTCTGCAGTAACCCATTCACATGACTGCTTCTCAAGAAAGTGCTTAAGATGTTGATTCAATTAACTATTCTAGCAAAGCTTACAAAAGACGCAATGAATACCTGACCAAGCATTGCTGCCTCTGCTTCTATTCCTCCAACTCCCCATCCAGCAACTCCTAACCCATCAATCATTGTTGTGTGGGAATCGGTACCAACCACACTGTCGGGGTAGAGAAGGCCGTCCGTATTAAAAACAACCCTCCCAAGGTATTCTAGGTTAACCTACAAAGTAATCGAAAGACAAACTCAATATTCACATCCATAACTAATACTGCAATCAGGAGAAAGTTACATTTATCCGAAATATCAGCTCATGAAATATTTACAATTGGAATATAAACAAAGCACGACCTACCTACCCTGAAAAGAAGGTTAAGGAAAGAATTTGGTTTGCCAGAAAGTTTGGCACATTAGTGTATTGGATGAGAACTTTTCAAAATGACTGCCTTTAGCCTAAGATGAATTTCTATCACTTTGTCACTCCCTAGAGCATTTTGCACTTATGTGATATACACATATTATAGTATTATGTGAATTTGTTGTAACCCTACCTGATGTACAATTCCCGAACCAGGAGGAACAACAAGCATGTTATGAAAAGCAGACGATCCCCATTTAAGGAAAGCGAATCTCTCTTTATTCCTATGAAATTCAAGCTCCATATTAGCCTGTATTGCGTTTTCAGACCTTGCTACATCAACTTGAACAGAATGATCAATTACAAGATCCACAGGAACCTGAAAGAAAACATATTACATTCAAAATTCAAGAGTGGTATACTTTTATAAACGTAAATCATCACGTATTATTCTACCAAAAAATCAACAACGAAAGCACTTTTTCACTCTTTCATATATTAGGGGATTTCACTTGGAAAAGAAAATGTTCCCTACTAATGGATTTGAGTCCATAACTATGGGTTCCAATGTCAAAAACAATGACGCATAAACAGAAATGACGCGTAACAATAAAAAACGGGGGAAAAAAAAAACTCAGATATTCCATGTTGAGGCAAAAAAGGGGAAAAAAATACAAACCAAAGGATTGATCTTCTTAGGATCACTGCCAAGTT